TTTTCATGCTGCTGGACTTGACTCTTGCGTTAATTCAGATGTCCACGCAGCTCGTCCTGCCAAAGAATATTCAGCTCCAGCTCGACCTCGAAGGGAACTCCCTCTGTCCTTTCGTCTCTTTGTGTGTTCCTTCTTCTTGGGGTGATCGAATTCCTTTTCTTTCGACCTCACTCGTGCCATTGGCGCTGAGTTTTACATGAGCGGCTGCAGGAGCACCGTTCTTAGAAGAGCAAAAGAGGATGGAACATGGACATCTATCGTCATGGGTCTCAGACCGGGGTCGCCGAGGTGCACAAGATGTTGCCCATGACCTTGGGCGCCAACATCGGCACCACCTTCACTGCGCTCCTCGCTGCTTTAGGAGTCTTAGCGCCTGAGACCCTGCAGATCGCCCTTTGCGCCTTGGTGGGGTGGAAGGACGGTGCGGATCGCGTGGTGAGCGGACGAGAGATACACTAGTGGATAGTAGCTGCTACTACTAGTAGCTACTCTCCACTGCACGACTTGAAAAGGCCATTTGGCCCCCTGCGTCCATGGTTGAGTATCTTTGGAATGTTTGACCTCGGGTTGCTTGCCGGAACGTCCCTTCGTTTCGGAAGACCGGTTTTCAACCATGGACCTTTATGGACAACCGGATCAGAACGTCCTGCTTTCGGTCGGATCAGAACGTCCTGCTAGATCGGGCCGACCGCGGCGACTCCGTGGGAGCTTCCCAGGCCATATGATCTTCAACATCATGGGCATCCTCGTGTGGTTCCCCGTGCCCTTCATGCGGAGAGTCGTCGTGAATGCGGCCTGCATGCTAGGCCGGGGTGCACCGCGAACAGGGGGGCTGGGCATGTTCTCAGATTGTGCCACCAATGGGTCTAGTCCAGTGCCTTTTTTAGATCGAGTGCCAAGTACTGCTTTCCTCTCCACCTATGAACAAACACGGCCGGTAACTTTTAATAGGGATATGTTTTTTAATAGATACTCGGGACTACGCGAATCTCGGTTTTTTGTTGGTTTTTGATTCACCGACCAAGGGAAGCAGGAAGCTCATGATGACATTCTTGCGGCTTTCAAGGGGAAGCAGACTCTCCCCCCTCTTCGTTTTGAAAGTGAACGTTATTGTGACCCTCTTGGCTGGGGCACGCTTCGCCACTGAGGGCTCTACGCTTCGTACTGGCGCTTAGTTCCTTTGCTCTACATCTTGGTGATGCCCCCGTGGCCCGAAAACGGGAGGTGGACAGCGCTGATAGGTGCGGACCGCAGCTACTCAGGACTATATATATACTTGCTGAAGCACAGTGAAGCAGATCCACACCAGTGAAGGTGCTGAAGCAGCGAATGAAGATGACGGAAGTAATTTTGTGGCCCAAGCACATCGTATGAAGGTGCCAGCATCCTCAAGTGGCTTTTCATGAAAAAAAGGGCAGCTGCAAAGATGACACGAAGCCATGGAAAGTAGACTATCCAGGCATCATTGACCAAGAACTAGTCACTAACAAAACTTAAACTAGTCACTAGTCACTAGAATATCTAAACTAGACACTATAATTGACAGTCTACAGTTTCGCTAAAAGTTTTTCAACAGGTTTCCAACCCTTGCGGCTGTTTCTTCGACCCTGGGTCTGATCCAGAGAAACTTCATTGGCTGGAAACTTTGTGATCTTCTACAAGAACATATTGAACAGGCTACCACCTGCCGGAACACTTCCACATGACGCTTCCACCAAAGCGTGGCGTCGGTGGATGCTCTTACTGTTGTTTCGGGGGGGGGGGATCCACCGACAGTGGCGGGTGCTCCTGTCATTGGATCCGTCGGGTGACCCAAAAAAGCTCTTGGGCTCACCCACTTGGACCTGACTCCCACGGTGAGTCCCAACCGGGTCCGCTGTCTCAGGTTCTTAGCGGTGCCAGGCGGAAAGGGGCCGGCCGGTGGGTCTTTTGGTGTCGGTGGCCGTGGTTTCAAGGGGGAGACCGGCAGACGGAATGGGAAAGGCCTATAAGAAGGAGATCAAGAGATGATGTCCTGCAAGTCTTCCTGTCTAGACCACATCTGGGTTTATGACCATAGAGGGGCACAGCTCATGGCCATAGCGTCCTTTTTGGTCGATGACCCATGCAACAAAACGACCCTGTTTCTGCCAACGACCCATGAACGACCCACGATTTTTTAGAGCTGCGGTCTAACCGGCGCTCCTTTCTAACCGGTGCCCGCAACGACCCCACGTCGTGATGGCCCATGGCCGGACACTCGTGCCAGAGATAGGACGTGCACGACGTCCGGCGGAGGCCTTTGCCTGGCCGTTTCAGTGCTCTATGG